GTTTAGTTTATTATCTTTTAGTTTAGTAATTTTATATTTATGCAATTAGGTCCTCATATTTTAGGTTTACTTTATTTATTTTATTTTATGTTGTTTTTGTTTGTTTTTTTATTATTTATTTGTTGTTTTAATTATTTTATTTAAGTTTTTTAATTGTTTTTATATATTATAGCTTTATTTCTAGATTTAGTTTTAAATTAGATTAATATTCAAATCAAACTTAGAAATTAGGACGACACTTTAGTTTAATTTGGGAGCAATTCAAGTCGAGTTTTTGCATTATACGCCTGATTACTTGAATCTATTGTTCGATTCTAAAATTAATTAATACTTAATATTTTCTAAAAATTTTAGTGTAATAATTTAGGTAATAATTAGATTTTAATTAGCCCCCTAACTTTAGAAATTATTAATTTAGGTCCTAGCTTTTAAATCTTTTAGAACTCGATTTTTTAGACCTTGACCTTTTTAGTCCCTGAACTTAGATTAGACTCTTAATATTGACATAATTAAATAGGTTAAATAGAGCCTCCAATTTTAGCTAGATTTTGATTTAGTCTCTTTAATTTAGGGATAATTCGAAGTAGCTCTCGCTGAAAAGCTCGAGGGACCATTTTGGTTATTCAACTCAATAATCGATTAAAATAAAATAGGATTAATATTAGAGTCTACGTTTTTAGATTTAAGCCCCTAGGTTCTTTAATTTTCATAATTTGTCACCGTAAGTTAGAAAAAGCCTTAATTTATTTTTAGTATAATTGGGAAAAATAAAATTTTACTTGATCGCATAGTTTTTATAAATCTAATGCACTATTCACTTATTAAGGAATTAATAGTATATCTCCTGCGATCATGCTCAGAGGGTGACTACTGGTAATTCCCTAAATAAGTCGACATCCTTTTCAAAACCGCATCATGTTTTCTAAAAATAAGGCAATGTTCAATTATTAGGCACAATAACTGATCTCCCGTATTTAAGCTCCATAGCGAATGCTATCGGTCTCAATAAACGAATACCCTTTCAAACTCTGCATCCCTAATGATTTTTAAATTTAATAAAGATCAATCTCAAAATTTTCTATTTTAAATATAGCGTAATCAACTATGTACCAATTTGTGGCGCTTGTGGAGGTGCTAATCCTTTCCACGCCTAACCGACTCCCGAACCTGATTTCTGGATTTTCGCATACCCTAAAATTCTATATTTTGATAAAAATAAAATGTTTTATTAAAATCATTGGTTTTATGGTGTTCCAATCGCACCTTAACTGATTGGTGGTGACTCCTCATATCTCGAAACGATTTTCAAAGAGAAAACCGCCGAGTCGGTATCGGTCTTTTCCTCACCCGGGCAAAAAACGATGTCGACAGACTCGCCCATCGTAACTTCCTTAGTAAGCAGTCCCCTGGGAGGTGGTGCATACAATCCATACGAAGTCTCTGACAAAGTTGATTGGACATGTAACATTAGGGCATACACCAAAGCAGTTGAAGTCTCGTGGTTGTTTGTTATGAAGAAAGAACTTGAATATGCCGCTATGGCTCTAAAAAGATTTAGGTCAACTATTTATGTCATATTGTTAGACTCGTTTTTATATCCTTGTTGAAGAATCGGGTAAAGAAAAATGAAAGAACACAAGAATTTTAACGAGGTTCAACAATGTGCTTACGTCCTCGGTGTCTAGGCGGCGCTAGAAGTTTTATTCAATGTCACATAAGTTTAGGTTACATCTCTATCTATAATAGATAAACCTAGAAAATATCCTGCCCCTTTAGCGGTATATTTATGAGTCATACCTAATAAATCTCCACCTTGGCGAATATCCTGCCCCTTAGGAGATATTCAATGTGGGTTGGGTTACCTTACTTCTTTAACAACTCGAAACATTCAACAACTCCAAGCAATGCTTGAACTTGTCTGTCGTAATTGGCTTGGTGAACATATCAGCGGCATTCTCATCAATATTTCCTTCTTAAACAAAATCTCTCCAGATGCAACCAACTCTCTGATCTTGTGAAAACGTACATCAATATGCTTAGTTCTAGCACGATATACCTGATTCTTAGCCAAGTGAATAGTACTTTGATTGTCGTAAAGAAAATGAACTCCACCTTGCTGAACACCCAACTCCTTCACTAGACCAGTAAGCCATAAAGCTTCTTTTGCAGCTTCAACTGCTGCCATGTATTCAGCTTCAGTTGTAGATAGTGCCACAACATATTGAACAATAGACTTCCAACAAATAGGCCCTCCACCAAGAGTAAAGTCATACCCTGTCATAGATCTTCTATTATCCAAGTCACCTGTATAGTCTGAATCCATATATTCTACAACTAAAGGATTATCCCGTTGACTACCAAAGACAATTTCATGTCCCACAGTACCCTTTAAGTACCGAAAGATCCACTTGACTGCTTCCCAATGTTGCTTACCAAGTTTAGACATGTACTTACAAACTTGACTAACAACAGGAGCTAAATCAGGACAAGTACATACCATTGCATACATCAAGCAGCCAACAACATTAGAATACGAAACCTTTGTCATATCTTCAGCTTCCTTATCTGTCTTAGGGCACTGTTCTGATGAGAGCTTAAAGTGATTCGCCAATGGAGTGCTAACTGGTTTTGCGCTGCTCATCGCAAACCTTTCTAGCATCTTCTCAACATAACCCCATTGAGATAGCCACAGTTTCCTTGAGTCTCTGTCCCTGCAAATTTCTATTCCAAGAATTTTCTTTGCAGCACCTAAATCTTTCATATCAAATTCTTGACTCAATAAAGTTTTCAAACCGATAACATCATACATGTTCTTCTCAGCAATTAACATATCATCAACGTACAGTAACTGAAAAATAAAAGAACCATCATCAAGGCTCTTAACATAGACACAACAATCATACTCACATCGCTTGTACCCAATCTTGATCATATAGGAGTCAACCGTTTGTACCACTGTCTCGGAGACTGCTTCAACCCATATAAAGATTTATTCAATCTGCAAACTAAATGCTCGTTTCCAGGTTGAGTGAAACCTTCAGGTTATCGCATGTAGATATGCTCCTCTAAATCACCATGGAAAAAGGCAGTTTTTACATTCATCTGCTCTAAATGCAAATCTCAACTAGCCACCAATGCAAGTACTGTTCGGATTGAAGTGTACCTGACCACAGGAGAAAAAATTTCATCATAATCAACTCCTTTCTGCTGTGAAAAAACCTTTGCTACTAAACGAGCCTTGAACTTCTCCCCTTCTTTTTCTGTTACTGATGGTTTCTTCTTATACACCCATTTGCAACCAATCGGCTTCTTACCCTCAGGAAGGCGAACTAACTCCCATTACGATTGTGATTCAAAGACTCCATCTCCTAAACCATGACAGTCATCCACTTATCGTTATCCTGACTAGTAATTGCATCATGAAAAGTAATTGGATCATTATTGCTAATAGTAAGTGCAAAAGAGACCAAGTCTTCAAAACCCAATCTATTCGGAGGCTTTATATTAGTCGTCTCACCCTGTCTCTCGCGAGACTGTAATCCTACAAATCATTTGTAACGGAACCACCAGAAGTCGGTTGAGAAGTTTCTATTTTCTCAACTAGAAACTGCTCGAAATCCACCACTGTCGTGTCTTTCTTCTGCTGCAACATGGGTTGTTCATCAAAAACATCTCTACTGATCACAATTTTCTTCGCAACTGGATCCAGAACTTGAATCCTTTGATACCTTTCTTGTAACCCAGAAAAATACACTCCTTCGATTTTGCATCAAGTTTGGATCTCTCATCGTAGGTACATATACATAAGCAGGAAAACCAAAAATTCGTAAGTGATCAAAAGTAACATCATGACCAGTCCATACCTCTTCTACAACTTTCCCAGCCAATGATGCCCTTGGCGATCTATTGATAAGATAACACGCCATGTTAACAGCCTCAGTCCAGAAGTGTTTGAGAAGCCCCGCATTCAATCGCAAACATCTGGCTCTTTCATTCAACAACATGTTCATCCGTTCCGCAACACCATTCTATTGTGGTGTCTTCCATATGTAAAATGCCTCTTAATCCCATACTCCTTACAAAAGTGTAGAAATTGTGAATCTGTGTACTCCGTACCATTGTCAGACCGCAAACACTTGATTTTTTATCCTGTTTGGTTTTCTACCTCAACTTTCCACAACTTGAACTTCTCAAAAACATCAGACTTTTGTTTCAAAAGATACACCCAAACTTTCCGTGAAAAATCGTCAATAAAGGTAACATAATACCTAGATCCACCCAAAGGCGATGTCGTGGAAGGCCCCCAACATCAGAATGCACATAATCAAGAATCCCTTCAGTTGTGTGCTTCGCAGTCTTGAAACGACTTTAGTCTGTTTACCAAGAACACAATATTTGCAAAAGTCGAGCTTACAAATTTTAACACCATGGAACAGATTTCTTTTATGTAATTCAGCCATACCACGTTCACTAAGATGAGCAAGATGCATATGCCACAGTTTGGTCGTATCATCACAGGACTCAACAGAATGAACTCCACCTACAACAGTACTCCCTAACAATCTGTAAATATTCCCTGCAGTCATCTTTCCTTTCATCATAGTCAAAGCTCCTTTAACAATCCGAATGGTTTCCTTATCCTCATCAGCCTTAGGGATAAAACCATTCTTGTGCAAAGTGCCCAAAGAAATCAAATTCTTCTTCAAATCTGTGATATGCCGAACACCACTCAACGTCCGAACAGAGCCATCATACATCTTAATTCTGACCTCACCAATACCAACAATATTGCAACATCGATCATCACCAAAATAAACAGAACTAGAATTAACCGACCTGTATGTCGAAAACCATTCTCTATTGGTGTGATATGATAAGAACATCCAGAATCAAGAATCCAAACATCCGTCAATTGAGTCATTGAAATAGAGAGCATATCACCCTCACTGCAATCAGAATTGTCATCCTCGACCACATTCACAGGCTTGGATTACTTGTTGAGCAGTTGTCTATGGTGGATCCATCTCAAATGAGTTACAGTGAGAAACTAGCATTTTGGATTAACCTGTATAATGCTTTGATTATGCATGTAATGTGCTTCTACCTTTTCAATCTATGCATTCTACTTCCTCTCTCGAGCATATAAAAACGATATATACATACACTCTACCATACAATAACTCGGGATTTCAATAGATCAATGGATGCTACTTAGGTCTTAGTTGAATTAGAGTATGATTTTTTTTTCTGTCATCTCTATTTCTCAGGCATATTTAGCATATGGAGTTCCGAGAGATGAAATCAAACTAGCAAAAGGTTTACCGTCATAATTTTTCTTATCCGGTTATTCCCCTTCCCCCTAAATGCTGCTTTGGACTGGTGATAACGGTTCAGCATGATAATGTGCAGGCTGCCTACACCGTTGGAGGACTCTCAGTGAGTGTGGCTGACATAGAATGCACTGTTCTAAAGATGATCCGGCCACTTACCGACCACAAATTGTATGTATAATTGGTCCATTTATCAACTGTTGCTAACTCCTCCCAACTTTGTTTTTCTTTTATCCAAAAGAGGAGATTTGTTTCCCTTTTCTGGGGTTTTTTTTTTGGTATTGCTGTCTTCATTGACAGTATTCTCTGACATCTACAACTTCAAAATTATAATCGTTTTCAGGCTGTGGTTTTGGCGCTTAAGAAATTCAAGGCTTCTGTTGAACTGCAGAAGTATATGATTGATCGTCCCGAGCCTCTGCTTCATTTTGCTTTGAGTTATGAGTTGCATTCTTTACCTGCGGTAAGATCTCATCGTTCGCCCCTCATCCATTTTTTCTAGTATTCTCATTGTGAGTGTGTTACAAAATAACCAACAATGAAATCTCCTGTCAATACAAATACAATGGAGATTAGATTCTACTTTCAGACTTTTCCTGTTGCAGGTGAGGGTTTTCAGGCCTGAAAACACGAACGAGTTGCTAAACGATCAATGAAAGATTACATCCAGGCATCCGTTGGCATCAGTAACAAAGGGAAACTATTGGTGCCGAAATTGTTGCATTGCTCCACCAAAGGAACGGTGGAAGAGTCGGTTTTACCCGAATGGGTTTGTCAGTTCTTATCACCACAGCAAGCTTCCATGGTTAGGAGCTGTGAATCAGGTAATACGTGGAGGCTCCTAGGTGCTCCAGTCTTCTCCGTCCTACCGTTTGATTCGAGGTTCCGGTTTCTCTTCCTTTTGATGATAAGACCAGCCACCTTTCAAAATCTTAAGTTTTGGAAAACAGCATGCTTTTAATATCAGAAAGCAGAGCAGAGCAACGAATTCAATCCACATCACATTGTATAGCAGTAGTTGCTAATGGTAAAGATTTACTTAACTCATTTACCCAAATTTGAAAGTGAACTATTAAGTTTTAGGAGGCTGTTCTTTAGTTTCAAGGTTCATATAATTTAATGGGCATTTTCCACCCACGATCTGAAAGTTAAGAAAAAAACGTTGGGCATTTTTCACCCACGATCAGAAAGTTCAGAAAAAAACGGTTAAGCTCCAAATTTCGTTACTCAACTTTGGGCCACCTTTCTGTTTTGATCATTAAACTTCAAAAATACTAATTTGATCTTCGAATCTTTTAATTATATTTTTTTTATCAGTTTGCTTTTATTTATCCGGGCATTTGCTTTCTAAAAACTAGGAAAAAAACCCCGAAACTTTATTTTTCTTATAAAGGAAAATCCTAGTTTCAATTCCTCTTTGATTTCAACATTGATCGAAAATGTTTTTATCTAAATTCAAGGTTTAATTTTATAAGTTTTAAAAAGTTTTTTAACCTTCCAAATCCCACCATTTTTTTAAAAAAAGGAAAGATATATATTTTAATTTCAAGTTATCAAACGGCGAAGATTATAAATTAAGATTTTTTCTCTCTAGAATTTAGATTACATTTCAAGAGTTAAAAAAATTAAAAGAATCTAAATTAAAAGTGATGGATAATAATAAAATAAATTCGCCACTCTCTTGTGTGATTGAAAAAACTACTAAAAAATAACGGCACAAAACATTTGACGTGACAGAGATAATGGACAGCGGCATAGAACACTTACGGTAAAAAATCACCTTATGCAGATTTGTATACCATACATTTTCCTTTAGAATATAAACACTTTCCTACTTATAAAATAAATTGACATTAAAGGATATTTTTGGCTTGTAATTTTCTAAAAGAGACTATCAATTCTACAACAAAATTATTCATGCTGATAATAAAAGAGAAGCCATGGATAAGATAATGAACATTGTAAACAATTTTGAAAGCGTGAGAAAGAATTTCAAGAGTTCAATCTTTGCGAAAAAGAAAGAAAACAAAATGAGAAATATATAACCAATAGATGGCTTACACATTAGCATAAAGCTAATCATGTCACCATATTATTTCTAATTGAATGTCCGAGTAACCAGATTGAGTGATGAAATTTGTAGTTTCTCCTTAACAAAATGCAGAAATCAATAAGAGAAACACGTGAAATTCAAATATATTCAGTCCCTATAACACAAAAATTTCGCTATTTGTAAATGTTGCATGTAAAAAGGATCACTGAAGCAGCCTCCCCATATTCAATTCTATGCTACCTCGAAATTAATAAAGCAAATGCAAGAGGAAAACAATACCACTTTTAAACCATCTAATTTTACTCTTCACCCAGATAACAATAATACAACAATGGCTATGATCCAATGGAATTCGCAACTTCGCTGAAAATCATTCCTCAGAAAGCTGCTAAAAAACAGACATTTATAACTCGTCATGGTAGCAGAGCTTTCAACTGTATCCTGAAAAGATCACCGAGTGCTCCACGAACACCGATCTGAAGACAGAGATATAATCGCTTATGGAGACAAATTTAAAGGATAAGATGTTAATGCTTCGTTTATCTAATTCAACACGAAATAAAAATAAAAAAGGATGAAGCACACCATAATTCACCGGAATATGCTCAAATGATAACTGAACAAAATGATCATTAAATTTGTCGAATTGTTACAAAATGGTCATTAAATTTTATTTATATGTTATAAAATGATCATTAAATTTTATCAAACTTTTACACTTATTATAACATCATAATGATTATTTTATAACAGTTCGATAACTTTTGGTGTAATTTACTCAAATAAAGAAGATTTCTAGAAGATGTGTATGTTTTTATTGTTAAAGACATAGTTGATAGGCTTAAAGTTTTTCTGGGAATTTTTAGATGGGTTGCTAGGACGGCTAACTTAGAGGCTGATGCCTTAGCTAAAGCAGGAATAGGCTGAGTTCAGTGTTGTTGTTTAGGGTTGTTTTATGGTTTTCTGTTTCTGTAAGGGGTGTTTTTCTTTGTTGTATTTCTTATGTAATTTTCTTGTGATGAATAAAATCTTAAGGCACTCTTTTTCTCCTTCCGCTGATTAAGGAGTTTCCCTACAGGCTCCATTAAGCAAGAAGGGGGTTTTTAACGACTTATCAAAAAAAATCTAGAGTTCGTTGAAAGTTTAACCCAGCAAGGGGCAGCAGTGATGGCAAAGAGAAAATGTCACTAAACTTGAAGCAATACTTATAGGGTGAAGTACAGTAGAGGTCATTGAACTACGCTAAAATGATCATTTTGGTCATTGAACTTCCAAAGTTAAAAAAATTGGTCATTAAATTAATCGAACTTTTACACATGTTACAAGGTTGTAGTGACCATTTCTGTAACAGTTTAATAAATTTAATGACCATTTTGTAACTTTTGAAAGTTCAGTGATCAAAATGATAATTTGAACATAGTTCAATGACCTATGATGTCTTTACATATTCTCATATTGGATACAACCTTGCAACTGGAAATCTGTGAGATCTAAGGTACAGGCAAAGAGAAAGGGAGATTTTACCTGGTCACAGCAAACAAGTTTTGTAAGCAAAGGATAAAAATCCCTCAGGTGTCTCCTGAAAATCTTCTTGTTCATGTAGCACATGCCTCTAAGCACCTGCAAAGAGAGGAAACAAAGCGAGATTCTCAATAACCGCTGCTGCTAATAGAAGAATTATTTAACAAAACTAAATCACTTTTTACGTTTAATTCTTCTTTTTCCTGATATAGTACCTTAATAATGATTGGAGACCGCAATTCCAGAACTCGATGAATATCAACATTGCTAGTTTCCCCTGCTGTAGACTGGAGGTCAGCTGTAGACTGGAGGTCAGCTGCATCCCTGAGTATCTGTTCACAGAAAGACACCAGCCTCTCTTCTGATATTCCTTCCAATTTTGTTTCTTCAGTGTCGAGAGTCCCATTACGTTCTAGACGTTGCCCGTTATTGTCATTAAGTCCCGATGTTACTTTTTGCAAGACATCCAGATAAATGCAAGTTCCTGCTAGCTCCTGACGAAGAAGATTTGGAGGGGGCCTGCGACAATATTAAGTGGTTATAACCCAGGTTCTTTGACCGTAAGAGTAATAATTAACAGAATAAGCAAGAAGATTACAAAAAGATGAGGTTAGAAAACATTGATTTTCTTACCTTTCCGCAGGAATATGGTGCATGCGTGTTCTGAGATTAGAAAATGAATTATACGAAGCGGCAAACTCTAGTAAGGATAACACGATGTCCATTATGGAAATCTTCTGAGTTACTTTCAAATTATCCCAGTATTTTTTCTGTCAATTTAGACGCACTTTAATTGGTAAAAGAATTATAAAAATTATACCATAGATGCCACTTCCCAAAGTCTAAACATGCAAACCTGAATGCTATCAACAGCACCAAGAAGTAATATTTGAGTGATGCATTTTCCCCTAACAGTTGTCATCATTGGACTTTCCTCATCTTTAGCATCGGGCTCATCAGCATACTCAGGAACCTAGAGAAATGTAGGATCAACAAGAGAGGGGTAAGTGAACAAAGGAGAATGCATATAGATTCATAACACATTACATTCATACTTTTCCGGTTGATCCTTAAACAAAAACATCCGCAGCATTGAATTGACAAAACTAACTTCTTTATACGTATAAGAAAAAAATAGCATTAACCGGAACAAAAGTGATCTTGATGCAAGAAATACATTTCCTTATGTTTCCGAGAATAAGTGCAATAAATAATTAAGCAAACATTTTAAAGGCTAGTGCATAAACCAATAGAGAATAGCAGCAGATACTGAAGCTATCACAGACCAAGAAATTCTAAAGTGCAATGTTTCTTGAAAGAAGAAGAAAAACATAAATAGAACATCTCTTGTGATCGAAAAGATATATAAAAACTTCAAATACACAGAGAAAGGAATCGCTAACCACCAAACGGCACAACCAAAGACGACTTACTACCTTCAATGGTGAAGATGGTACTGGAGTCCCTGATGTAGGACTCTTCGGTTTTGAGGTAAAACTTCTAACAAATATGTTATCCATCATATTTCCCATGATTCTTTGACCTATTGTTTGATTTCGTTGGAGAGTCCCAGCTTCAGCAGACTTCTGAGCTCTACCTGATGGTGAAGGGAAACCTACAAGAACGACAATGTATAATTTGTCAGGTTTGCTAATGTACAAATTCAAATGTCCAGATTGGGCTGAATGAACAGTAGTATATGGACCAAGCTTTTGCTCATAATATGAAGGAAAACAAGACATCAGCATACAGTCAGACAATTAAACTTAGTAAAAAGTAAGATGATTCTGCAAAGTGCAACTAATTCTGGTATTTGAATGATATTAACAGATGAAGATACACATTCCCTGTTTGGTATGTTTTAAGGGGAAGATCCTCCGTGGCTCACCTTCAGATCCATCTGGAATAGATTGTAATTCTTGATTGTGATCTTGTGAAAGAGATGCATTAGTATTACTTGTGCCGCTCGGAGATGCAACTGGTGAAGTCCTCCCATTATCAGTAGAACCAAACTGAGAAATTTCACCATCTGTATGAACCTTTAAATCTCTTAAAATCGAGGGGTTCATTGGATTCTGTAGTCCCAATGTGTTGAGTAGCTCAAGCGGTTGTGTTGTGTACGATGCATCTCTGGAAATAACAATGAAGTAAACAAAATACAAGACTTCAAAATAAATAATTTAATTGTAAAAAAATTATGCATTCTCAAATCTGAAGATATACATACCTTATGCTCCTCAACAACATATCCCATTCACTCTCACTGAACTGGTGTCCACCAACCTCTATGAGATGAACCAACGCCCCAAGAGCAATTGAAACAACAGTCTGGTCTGACTTTTTAGCACAGTCCAAC